CTGATGACAAACAGCAGCCGCAGTGATTACCCTGGACCTCCACATTGGATAAATTCAATTTCTTCCTGAGACACAAGTTTCCTTCTATGTTTCTGAGGCAATGTTTTTATTATTTCTGCAGTGTCTGGTGGAGCCTGATACATTAGCAAATCTGGTGGTTTATTTCCTTTAGAATGCTGGGAAATTGCAGAAGAGTGAGACAGTAGGTCTGCTGATCTCAAAGCTTCTGATACATTGAGTTTAGGATTGTCTCTTCTGTCAGGGAATCTTATTAATGGAGTGTGTGGCTTGACTACCTGGATGACCCTGCTGGTGGACACCATCTTGCTGCCCATCATGACACCCCTAGCTTTATGTTTTAATTTAAGTCTTTGATCCATTTAAGTTTAGGTCTTTTATCTATTTTGAGCTTATTTTTGTGTATGGTATAAGATAAGGGTCCAATTTCATTCTTCTGCATGTGGATATCCAGTTATCACAGAATAAAATCCAACTCCTTGGCAAATAATACCCCTTTATAGTGTAATGTGGGGGTAGGGAGTGGTACAATAACCTTCTCAGAGCCTTGGGTCTCTGAGGCCTCTGGTCAGGCATGCCCATGAGGACTGCTATGGGACACAGGGCTTCCTGAACCCTGCCCTCAGTGCCCTGATGCTTAAAAATTGAAGCCACGTGCCTCATCACTGCCCTGTCCTCCCACCTTTCCTTGGCTCAAACCCTTGGTCACCTGTGCTCTCCCTAAGAAATCTGTAAATGGCAATGCAGGGAGTGGGGGTGATACTGAGGCTGCACCTGTGCAGCCAGAGGAGGAGGCTTCCTCTGCATCCCTGCCTGGCTGCCACATTCCTCCCCTCCCAAACCCTAATCCCTGGCAACGCTAACTTGGTTCTGAACTCTGTGACGACATGATTTCAAGAATGCCACATAAACGGGATGACATAGTATGTAACCTGAGTTTGCCTTTTCACTCACTGTACTTCCCTGGAAGCCACATTCTTGTATGTCCAGCTCTTGTTCTTGTGTGTTCAGTTGACTTTTGATGGTGTGTCTTGCCTCTTCCTGTTTCGGATTTGTCAGTAGCTGCAATTAGTATCTCATTGGTGATGATGGGTTTTTCCAGTCTTTTTCTATTTGTTCAATAAACACTGAGTTCCCTACTATGTGTCTGGAGAGCATTGAGGATAAGGAAATGAATCAGATGTCTCTCAGACTCTGATGACATTTAAGTCTGGTGGAAGAATCTCATGTCTGCAGGCTAGTTTACAGACAAAAGAGAAAAGAACGGTATTTCCAGATTTTGTGAGAAGGATCAGAATATGTGTGCGAGAGGGTCAGGACCTTCATCTGGGTGAGGGCTGGCGAAGGTAAGCAGTGAACTGTCTTAAAGTATTGTTTATATAACTCTTTATAAAAACTTGAGAAAACTGTAAAGCCCACATTAAAGTTGGAGCAGGGGGAGAACTGAACCAACACTGAGTAGACTGCACTGGAAATAAATCACAGGCCCCACTTTTCCAAATCAGTGACAGCTCCTTCAGGCTCGAGACACCCTGCTCCTTGGCCAGGGGAGAACTGGTATTCCCTCTTTCTGTCCTGTGGGGATTAAGGATGCCTGGCCAGAGGCAGAGCTCAATTCCTTTCTGTTTGTGGTGACAGGAGGTGAGTATTCTAGTACTCTCTCCAGACCCAGATGTTCTGAGCTGGGGATCCAGAGACTAGGTGGAGAGGGACAAGTAACTAGGAGGGAAAGATGAAAGGAACCGGTGCACTCACAGCAACACACTCACTCACAGAGACATGACGGGGAGACCCCATTCGGCCTAGAGCGGGTGGAAGAGGCTTTGAGGACCCTGCCTTTTCCCCACAAGGGGGTTGTAGCAATAAATTGTCCTCCATTCTAAGCAAGAAAAGAACATTTTGTCACCCTGGCTTAATCTGTCCCTTCTCATCCACTCCCTGCCACAGGTCACCAAGCATCTATAAAATAGAATTTGATTTTCAGTTGGAAGGACTGGTCCGTTGGGTCTCCCACTCTACTCTCTGGCCTCTGTGTCCCTCTTCTCTTCCTTCCAGTGGGGGTGACTGACCTGGAATCGTGAGTGGTGATGCAGAGACCAGCTGTTCTGGTGTGTTTACCTTAGCGCTATGGCAGTCCACCCTCCCATGCCGTCGTGGAGAGCATCCGTTGACCTGGTGCTTTGTGATTATAATATTCAGGAATAGCAAGGCTTTCTGAGTGCCAAAGAGAAAAGAAATTTGGGTGAAAATAATGTATATGGAAATGTTTAGATAATGCAAAGGGGAAAGATAATGGGATATTTACCAGGAAGCTAATGAAGCTTAAGTTCTGGGCCCCTAACTTGCATGGGCCCCTTCTAAAACCCCGGAAGAAAACTTAGCAATGTGTTCATGTGCTTATTATGTTTTTGTAAAACTGGCAAAAGGCAGTCCTGTGATTTACCCTGAAGAGAGACAGACCAGAAATATTAATATTTGGTATTTAGCACTAATGGACTACCAGTCACAATCTTAAATATTTTAAATGTTAAGAGTTGTGTTTTACAACTTCGGTCTGACACCTGTGTAAGTTTGAGCAAGTCGCTTATTCTCTCACAGTTCACTATATTCATTTATCAATGAGGTTAATAATTGCTAATATTTATTGCTTTGTTTAAGGTACTCCATTCTGAGCCTTTTATGTAGATTCTTTCACTTGATTCACCAACTATCCTATGAAGTAGGAACTTTTATTATCTCTAATATACTCAGAAGGAAATAAGCTAAAGAGAGTTTAAGCGATTTTACTTCAAGTCACGCAATTAGTTAGTGGTAGAGCTGGCAATCGAATCCAGATGTAGGAGTCTGAATCTGGGGCCCAATCTCTGAACCTACCAGCAGCACCGATAGATGCTGTTTGCAACAGGGTTGTTAATTTAACTCAAACCAATTTAACATTAGCATCTCTTGAGTGTCAACTCTGTCCAAGGACCCCCTTGTGAAAATCAAGAGATGTGTAATTCACAGGAAAGTGCTTTGGAGAAATCTTAGTATTTTTAAAGTAAAAGTATAACCAGGTAAGCACTAAAGTAAATCAGGTATTTCTAATTTATCAAATCCATAAGGGATGAAGAGAAAATTTTAATAGGTGACTTAAACATTCCTCTGTGTGTGTATATGTATGTGTGCGTGTGTGTGTGTGTGTGTGTGTGTGTGTATAAACAATTAAAGCAATTACAGTTACCCCACAACTGTGACTGGAGGTAGTTTTAAGAGTTACTAGAGTTAAGACAACCTGGAAATCCAATTCCGACTTAAGTCATCATGATATGACTACAAGACTTCTCGTGCCCAGAGCATGGTGCGCATGCCTTCGTTCTTGCCACCACATACGGAAATTGCTTCCTATTTACCAGCCTCCCGAGTCCGCGAGGGCGGTCCGAGCTGAGTTGTGTTTGGTCTGTACATGTCTTGCACCTAATATGGCACCGCCACATAGGTTTTCCTTAAGACGAGTTGTGGCTCTTTTTTATGTGTGAGATGGGCAAATGCACTGTGCTGGAGATGAGCCCAAGGTTCACTATGTTCTTGCTACCTTGGTCAAATCCCTTGCTAGGCTACTGGGAAACTGAAATCTCTGAATAATAACTGAGGGTGATAGTGAGAAATGCACTTTTAATAACTACCATTTCATCAAATCTTAACAAGGGAACAAACAATGAGACATCGACATATAGCACCTGTTTCTGCTTCCAGTCAGAGTGGGAGCCTCTCGGAATCGGAATGTCAGGAAGCAGCCTGATTCCTCGGGAGGTCTTCCGAGTTCCACTGTGGGCATCTATATTCCCTCACATCTGTCTTTC